CAAACTGTATCTGGTTGCATCTCCTCTAACAATTAGACTTTGTCATTATTGTGATTACATGTTTCTGTGGGCTAATAACCCGTTGCTGGAGCTGTGGCGAATGCAGTTTTGCTGCTGTATATCCAGCTCACAACCAAAGCAACAAGGAGGATGAAAAGAATTACTTGGGTTGTACTGACCTTGCTGTCTAATAAAAATACTAATAAACTGAGCACCTAATCAGAGCAATTTAGTGCACATCTCACTAATTCATTGCACAACCGACATGTATGACACCTTGGCTGCTGCACAACCCTTTTGTTTTAAAAAAAAAAAAAAAGAAGTGATTATGTAATCTGGCTGCCTGACAGAGTAAGTCAAGAAAGTCCAGCATTATGCAAGGATGCAACAGGATGCAAACACAAGCCTTCATCTGCTCTTTACAAGTGACATTTTCCAACTTAATCTTATATCACTATGAGCACAATGACAGTAAAAAAAAAAAAAAAGGTTCACCATTACTGGTTCACCAGTAATGAAGAGATCACCCCTCATCAGCTATCTGAACACTGACTCAAGCACAACCCATCGGGACACCATTGCCAATCATAGTAACGCTATTATTTGTGGATAGACTTGGATATCCTCATTGCATCCTTATACTGTACATCTTTCTGTTTATTCTTAAAGTACTTTACAATTATGAAATATGACAGTTTGGGGTTGTTATGCAAACTTTTCTCTCGTGTATATGAGAGGCAGCTGTCTGTGTTGGTGTCAGTGTTAGTATAGGAAGCCTTTAATCGAATGAGAGATGACAGTCATTCACTGTTAGTCACCCGTGTTTCCTCTGCCAGACGAACCAGCAAAGCACACAACAACCCCTTCACAGGTCTAGACACAGTCACACCCTGACAGAATGACACACTGCACTGCAACTTTTCACATAAAACTTTTTTTTTCCCTCTCTTTATCTTTGCATTTAGATTACGGATCTTTCATACTTTTTATAATCACTTTACATCTGTTAATCGTATCAACACCTCACGTGTTCATTTGATTTGACTTGTGATATCAGATGAATAAGTGATGACACTTAATTCCACTTCCCCTCACTGTGTGCACACAACACCTCCAAATAACTTCACCGTATCACAACTCACTCATCATTTTCGACGTTTTCCCCGTTGATCAGATTTTTTCCACTTGGTGCATAATCCCACGAGTCCTCAATGATCCCCACGTAGTAAATTCTCTCCTTGCTGCGCCTTCCTTCTGCCAAGGAGGGGAGAAGAAACAACAAACAAGTCCAAGCAAACAGCCCCAAAGTCCGTGCCATGTTCCGAGAATCGCTGCGTCAGATGAAGGCACAGAGAGTTTAGCGGGTTATTGGTTCAAGAGGAACAAGTGGAAAGCCCCGCCGCCTCCAGCGTGTAGTGTAAGCCCGTATTTAGACTGTACGCCGGTGCTGTACTACTTACGAAAATCTAAAAAGCAAAAACAGTTGGCCTATTCAGTCAGAGAGCAGCGGTGGAGTGACCGCCTCCTGTGGTATCAGACGTACTGCAGGGGCAATAACCACTCAATGTTCTCGCGTTAATTGTTATAGGTTGTTACTGAAATCGCCTGCTGGGAAATTAAAGTAATTGAGCTACTTATTTTAAAATGCAGACTCAAGCACCGCGGGTCGTCTCAATTGGCTGTCAAGTTTCCAGTTTCCACAGGTGATGAATAAGCATGTTAGTCAGCTGGTCTGTGAACAGTTTTTGAGAAGTTAATTTACTCTAGATCTTTCTACATTTCGGTGTCACTTTCTAGTAAGTCACCCTAAAGAACCAGTGGCTTTATTATTGGTTAATAATAAATCAGTTGTAAGACATTAATAAGAACCTCTTGGGTTGGCAGGTTGTGAAATATATCTCTGGCTGCTTCTAAATGTTGGTGATCCATTCATCATTAAAGGCTTCACAGTTTTTAATAAGTCAAATGGATTTAGTTCCAGGTTCTTCAGTTTTTGGCGGAAAGATTCCTGTTGAATGATAAAGCTGCTGCAAGACGAATTTTACACAACCTGGCAACACAAAGGTTGGCATTATGATTGGATTTATTTAACCATGAATGAAATCATTAGTCACAGCTTATAGGCCAAAACGTAATGAGTTGCACAATGATATGGAAATTCTAATTCAAGAAAGCAAGCTGAATATTTGATCATTTGGATGATTAGAACATTTATTAAAGTTGCGATGTTGTTCGAGTATTTTCTTAGTTGCAAGAATGCTGTACAACCACTGAAATATTTTAAGACAACTCATCTTGATAATGCACGTTCCCCTCAAAACAGCACTTCATACCTGCCACAAAGGAATGAAGCTGACACCTGCTGACCAACTCTGAGCAGCACAACTGTATAGAGACCGAGCTGGGTGAACTGATGGCTCTGCCTTAACAGAGCAATTGCAGGACACCACGGTAATATGCAAACACCTTAAACATATTTTAGTCACTCTGGTCATGTCCCCCTCATCCAGTTTAGTGAGTGTGATCCTTGAGCTTCCTATTTCTCATAATCCCCACAAATCTCTCAGTACAATCTGCAACCCAAGATCAATAGTGATGTTGTGCCAAAACAAAGGCACTGGGTGGTTCAACAGGAATAACATCAGTGGAAAAGTTTTTTTTACTGTTCTTGTAGGTCACAGGGTCAAGTCCCTTGGCTCAGGAGTTAATATGTTCTCTTTTGTCTTGTTGCACGATCATGCCCCCGGATATCCAAGCACATAGAAAGAACAGACTGTTCCACGAGAGCACCTGTGTACTAATGTATTCTCAGTCAGGCACCAGCCCAGTGCTAAACTGTGAATGGAAACCTCTGGAAATTCAACTTGATGTCTGCTGGATGATTTCTATATGATTTACGTTAAACATTAGAATAATGATATCTGAACTGTCAGATTCCCATGCCATTCTCAAGTTGTTATTTGGCCCTGCAATGTGTGTGTGCTTATTTTAATTTACAGACAAAATATGATCATTTTAGGTGCAAATATGTGAATGAAACTAAATACATTCATACAATCCACATGCCTCCACTTGAGCGCCAACAGGACCTTGAGCCCATTTTTACAGTGATGGTTAACATCTTGTGTCAGATTAAGACTAATCTGATTTCAGATTAAAGCATTTAGTTGAAGATTCAAGCAGATTTTTGAAAACAGCTTTAGTTCTATCCTCAGATGTTTGTAGCATTATAGCATTAGGAAGAAACCTCTTACATGTAACAGGGTCCCATCTCTTTTATACTAATCTTGTTAATTCTGGTTTTAATAAATAATTGGCTTTTTTCCCAAGTACCTGTCTATTAATCTTAAATTTTGAGATACTGGCAGAGCAAAAGCATTTCAATGGCTGAATCTAGTTTCCAAGTACAAGTTTAAGGATTACTTTGAAACTTGATATCAAAAACAGATATCATTTAAGCAATGATTAGTGATAATTTAATTCATGGATACATACTTTATAGCCCACTGCATTCCACATGTATTCAACATTTATGTTTTTAAAATGATCCATACTTTTTTTTTTTTTATCAAATTCGTTTAAACTCTAGCTGTGCCAGTTGTAAATTTCAGCTGTCCCAATTTTTTTTTTTGCCACATGTGATATTGATGATAATGATGATGATGATGATTAGATGATTAAGTAGATTAACATTTACAGTGTTGATTAACACCAAATCAACCAATAAACCATTAATTCATAATTTATTTATTGGCAGTGGTGGAAAATAAGTAAGTACACTTACTCAAGTATGGTACTTAAGTACAGTCCTGATGTCCTTTACTTGAGGATTCTCATTTTATGCTACTTTATACTTCTACCCTTCTACATTTTTGAGGCAGATATTGTGCTTTTTACTTCACTACTTTTATCAAACAGTTATAGTCACTAGTTACTTTGATCTTACATACAAAATAAATGATCAATTTATAAAATATGATGCATTATTAGGGGTTAAAGATATACACAGATGTTTTCAGCTGATTAGGTTAAAGTTACACATTTACATGAGGTCACCAATAAGAGTGATACAGTTGTAACTTTTCCTACAATAAAACTAACAGAAGCTCCTAAAGTCCTGATTTGTTTTATAAGTTCTATGCACAAGATAGACTAATATCATGTGTGCACATGATTGATAAAAATCATGTGGGGATCCATAATTTAAGACACTGAAAAAGCAATTTTGCATAATGAGTGCTTTTACCATTAAGTTAATTTTGCTGGTATACAGTGGTGTCTGAGTCCTGTACACATGCAGCTTCAGTGGAACCCCTTCCCTTTTAATAGATCCGTTGTCACACCTGTACAAACACCTGAAACAAGTAAATGCATACATATGTGGTGATTAGAAAAACCAGTTCGTAATTGAGGAAAGTTTGCACAATGTGAAATCTCAGCATATTTCAGCCCTCTTTTTTCATACATGTATAAACTGCACTAATAGTGGGAAGGTTTCACTTTTCATTTTAGAAGAATATAGAACATTATTTCTGTCCCGTCTCGGTTATATTCTGGCCTGAGGAAGGATTTCTGTATTGCTGTATTTCAGAATAAAAGACAAGAGTTAGAGTTCACTGGAACCATGTTTTATTTGCAGGAGTGGACTAAACCATGACGACATTTCAGAGAGGGGGTGGGGGCGGGCAGAAAGGCTTGTTTTAGATACAAGGATCTGTCAAACTTCACTGTACTTATAATACAAATAATATAAAATTTAAAAATAATTGCAATTAAAAACAAACTTTTTATTTGGGACCTGTCTACTTAGTTCCAATATTGCCCTCACTACTACGCTCCTTTTTTCAATCCCGGACTTTCACTAACAACAGAGCATCTTTTATATCTAGCGATGTTGCTACTTTTACTGAAGTAAAGAAGGGTGGCCCAATCCCAGCGCCGTGCGCGTTCACGGCGCTTTTGCGTGACCGCGGTTCCCTCAGAGTGAACGCGAACGAAAGCGCGTCGCTGCTGTTGGTTGTCAGTGTACAGACATGGCTGCCCTGAGTAAAATACCACACAGCTGCTACGAGATCGGTCATACCTGGAGCCCGTCGTGTGCACAGTCCGCTGTGGATGTAACTAGGGGTGCTCTGGAGGTCTCCTTCAAAATATACGCCCCTCTCTACCTGGTACGTTTTGTCGTTCGGGCGTTCAGTATTGGGACTCGGAAGCTAAAGTTAGCTAGCTAGCCAAGTAATGCCAAAGTAGTTCTGAGAAATCGCCGTAAATATTAGCTGACATATTAGCTTTCACTCGGGGACTAAGTTCAAGTTCGAGAACTAGCACAAACATTGCACTCTCAACGTTGTCCTTGAAAAACACAGCCTAGCACACTCACTATTTACCCGCTAATTAACAGTGGTCACCTGAAATTATCACTTGACAGGTTAAACCGAATAGTTAGCATTAACCTGCTTTACCAGTTTGTCGTGTTTACGTTGCAGTTCTTGATGCACTGTAATGGTTTTTAAAACTTTAACACCATCATCAGGTCCAATGGGGAAGTTTGTCACATTTGAACAGCTGTTTTCAAGTTTTGTCAGGCGTTGTTTGGCAACAAAATATTAACACCAGCAACAACTTTCTGCATTGCAGATAGCAGCAGTTTTAAGGAGAAGGAAGAAGGACTACTATTTAAAAAGGCTTCTCCCTGAGATCCTGTGGTCTACCTCTTTCCTCACTGCCAATGGAGGTCTCTACATTGTTTTCTTCTGCATCCTCAGGTTAGTAGAGCAAATGTCACACAGATACACATTGTCAATCACACAGCTCAGCTGAAATTAAGATGCAAGAGATGCCAGGGTTTGACACTGATCTATGGATCAGTGTATATGTTTGTCATTGAAACTAAAGATGTCATGTTTCATAAAACAACATGAAATAAACAAGCTTCTAAACTAACAAAAGTTGTTTGCAGTCTTATCCGTGTTAATCACCAAAATGCTCTGTGTGTCCTTGAGTTCTAACACATTTCTTTCCTCATTAAACCTTTGCAAAGCTGATTGAAAAATATTTAACATCCTGCTTATTCACATCCATGTTTACTAGCTGGCAGTCCTCACCTACATTGCCTTTGTTAGCACATTGCATACCTCAGTGGAATAGTATGAAACCATTGGCAGGAATACAAAACACTGTTCCAACCTATGTGTGCATGCATATGCGTCTTCAAGATAAAAAAGGGAGCCCATACAAAAAATTTCCATATAGCTTCTAATAGAGGTCAAAAACTACACAGGATACCTGTAATCAAACCAAAACTTTGCTTGTTTTTTATTTGAAAAAAGTAGAAAAAAATACAGTGAAGTAACGCTGAATATATCCAACTTTAGGAAACTGTTGGGAGGGTTCTACTCCTGGTCTGCTGGGTTTGGCTCGGCACTGCCTGCCTCTTATATTGCCATCCTCTTGGAGCGCAAAAGCCGGTGAGATTCATGGCTGTTTATTTTAACTACATTTGCTTGCCTCTCTTACTCTCTGAAAGTCCTTTCATATTTTAAACTAAAACACATTTATGAGGTGCAACAATGCACAAAAACAGTGCTTCCTTTTTGGCAGTTGTTGGATACCTCTCAAGTATCAGAGATGGCTTTGTAAATATTGATTCTGTTTGTAATGAGAAACTTTATGTCTCATCCCTTCTTTCCCTGCCAGGAGAGGGCTGCTGACAATATACATGACAAATCTTGTAAGAGCTCTTTTGTTCATTCAAACATTATTTATTATACATAAAGAGATACATCTGCTTTTACCAAACAGTGTATTTGTAACCATGTATTCTTGTTTGTCAGGCCACTGAGACTTTGTTCCGCATGGCCGTGACACGGGGCATCATCAAACCCATCAAACATGGCGAGGTAAGATGACAGGGAGGTTTGGGTGAGCTAAAAGCGAAGGGACCTAAATACTGGTGCTTGGGGGCTAAATAGTATAACAAATAATACGGGAGGCCCTCGTCCCTACTCAGCCTGTTTTAGCTGTTATCAGGAAGCTGTGCTTCATCAGGACTGTATAAGCAGATGTGGAGTAATATGAAGAATCTTCAGCAGTAGATTTCTTCTTTAAATTAGCTCTGTCTCATCACAATCATTGGTGCAAACAAGAAGAACTCTATTGTGCTAAACGTGTGTCCAGATGGTGATTATCAAACTAACTTCAGCCTCCTCTCAGATCCCTACCTGAATATAATTCAGTGAGCCTAACTTGTAAATCCTCAGAAGGTTTTTCCTTATTCCTGACATGATGACGTGACTTGCTGCTCTTCATAATTACAGCAAAGCCAGCACAAGTTGTGATAAATCAGTCAGCGTCACCCGCTGAGCTGAATCACACCCTGACGCATCTCTCTTCATGATCATTTTAGTCAGTAAGTGACGGTACATTCGTCTCACTCCTTCGATATGAGGCCTTTGCTACGTGAATTAGCAGCTCTGCATGCCTTTATATTTCATACATGTGTATTAATTTTTTCTTACGTTACCGGAAGCAGTCTTTATTTCAGATGTGGCAGCAAGCCGGAGATGCAAGACGGATACATATAGATGTGTCAGTACAGAATATGAAATGTAGGCAGCTTACACCAATATTATACAGCTTCAATATCAAGTTAATTTGTAATACGTAACTTTCACATATGGTTTGACTGCATGTTCAACATGGCTCCAGTGTCAGTGACCACTTTCATCACTGATCTCACCAGACTGTACTGTGATGGTGTCCTGTTGTCCTGATTTCCACTTTCTGTCTCTGTTTCCCATTAGGTGCTCTTGTTCTGCATAACTGCATCACTCTACATGTTCTTCTTCAGGTCAGAGCAGCACAGTGGACAGTTTACAGTGAAATAATGAACATTGCTTTGTTATAAATATCCTTCAAATACTGTATAATAAGCGAGAGCAAATGTTAAAGGTTTGTGTGTTTTATACTGCAGGAGTAAAGATGGTCTCAAAGGCTTTGCATTCTCTGCATTAAAGTAAGTTGCCCCTGTTCCCACTGATGCCTTGAATTAGATCACTGACAGTTTTTGGTTAAACCTCACAGCGGTGGCATGCGTCATGTGTCGCAGGTTCATCATTGGGAAAGAAGAGATTCCAACTCACTCTGGTACGGCAGAACACGTCTGCACAAGGCCCCATGAGAGGATAGCTGCTGCAGAGACTGAGGATTCACAGGAGTCAGCAGAAAGGCCCAGCTCCAGGAGGAAAACTCTTGTAGCCTACACCAGGGAGCTGCTAGAATCACTGTGAGAGAGTACACACCTTCACACAGACACTTAAGGGGTTTGTGCAGAGTGGTGGGCAATACTTACTTTTTTTGTTTTTTTTTAATAATCCAGATGCAAACGGGGTCCAAGACACAGATGTTGTAAACATCACCAAGACAACTGCATTTCGTACTGTGTTAAAGTAAGACACTTTTTTAACCAAGAACCAACTTTTGTGTGATTGTTCTCATTCATGCGATGATGGATTTATAATACTCAAACTCTTTCTTATTAAATAAAATAATAAATGATACTAATACTAGATACTAATACTAGATACCAATACTACATTTCCTTCTTTTTCACTGTCCAGGGTTTTGTCAGGATGTTCAGTGTTGGCTACCTGATTCAGTGTTGTCTTAAAGTGCCCTCAGCGTTCAGGCAGATGTTCTCCAAACCCTCACGACTCCCCTCCCTCTTCTACAACAAAGAGAACTTCCAGCTAGGGGCATTTCTGGGATCCTTTGTCAGTATCTACAAGGTACATTTCATACTGTTTTTAAACTGTAAGTTTTGCTATACTACCTTATTTTCTCTTCCTTGTTCCATTCCAAACAGAAAACAAACAAACCAAAAAAGAATTTATCACCTGTACTACACTGTTGCCCATAAAGTTGGAATAATTTTGTTTTCAGACACAATCCTCTGTTTATTCCTATTTAAATGCATCAGTAATCACTTTTGACCAGGTGCAGTGATTACATTATGTGTCCCAGGTGAAATGAAATAAATCACATTGTCACAATCATTTCATGGAAAGAGGTAAAAAATATTTTATTCCAACTTTATGAGCAACAGTGTATATACATTCCTGTGTTTCCCTTCTCCTTAAAGACACTTTTTAGTTTTTAATCTCTCAGATTTTTCCTCACATATCTGATCTTATGTTCACTAACATTTCCCCATCCTGTCCCATTTTCGTATTTCTTGGCATACATTGCAAGTATTATATTGTGAATTTGTTTAAATGTATGTCTCTTTCACTCAGGGAACAAGCTGCTTGCTGCGCTGGGTGCGTAACATTGATGATGAACTCCATGCACTGATAGCTGGTAAGACGGGAATGTGTAAAGTGTCAAATAAAATTCCTGTCGAGTAATCCTCCTCTGGACTTTGTCATGTCTCAGTTGGTTTACTCTGTTTGACACTTGTCTCTTTCCCTTTCTCTTTCAAGGCTTCCTGGCTGGTATTTCCATGTTCTTCTACAAAAGCACATCAATATCCATGTATCTCTTCTCTAAGCTGGTGGAGGTAAAAGAAAATCTCTTTGCACACGAAACAATAATAATTCCAGTAAGAAGACAATAACATTGTCAAGAAAATATACACATCAAAATGAATCCCTCATCTCAAGGATGGAGAACCAATTTTCAGTGAATATCATACAAAATAGAATTCAGCCTCTTAAATAATAAATAATCTTACATTAATATCTAAAATATTACCAGTAAATACTGCATGTTCATCATAATCTAGAGAAAATCTGGCGTGTACAAGTATGTCTACCTGCATACAAGAAACTAGTCGCTTCTGAATGTCGGTTACTCAGGAAATCTGAAAAGGTTATTTACATGCTTTGTGGTAACATTGTCACTGTAAATCTAAGTCTGTGTATACACACAGCAGGTCTGTTATGAGAATGACCCATCTGGCAATTTGGCTGCTTTAATTCACACTAGAGCCTTGGAGAAATGTTATATAAATGGCAGTAGTTCATAAGTCAGCAGATTGCCTAAAGAGCTATAATAGAAAATTGACTCAAGTGACGGAACACGTTACAATACGTGTCTGTTTACCTCGATTGGCTTGTTTATCATTAACAGCACAAGTAATAAACTCTTGTCTTTAGACCATGTACTTCAAGGGCATTGAGGCTGGCCGGTTCCCGTACTTTCCTCATGCAGACACTGTCCTATATGCCATCTCCACTGCTATCTGTTTCCAAGCTGTAAGTAACACATACACAACCATGCATACCCACTCACATTTGTTTTTTTTTTTTTTTGGCTGAGTAACGATGTAATGTATGACTCATCACTGTTACACAGGCTGTGATGGAAGTGCAGAACCTCAGGCCTTCATACTGGAAGTTCCTGCTGCGTTTAACTAAGGGCAGGTATGAATGCATGGTGTGGAGTCTGTCAGTTGTCAAACAGTGTTTTGTTTGAGAATCAGTGATGATTAGAACATACAATGCATTTTACTAAAGAGTTTTATTTTAATATTTGCATATCCTTTTCAGAGGGAAATTGCTGCTTTATTTAGTATGGATAACAAATTTTGCATTCTTTAAATGTTACTAAAGAGGAAAAGATGATGAGAAAAATCTGTGATCTTTAACAGTTTTACTCACAAACACAATTTGGTTATGATCCAGTCGTAGCTGCATTGTTGAAGAGCATTTTAGCGGTGTATATGGTGTTTGAGCATTTTGCAACACAGTTTGCAATAAATATATACTGTTTGTCAAGGTAATCTGTTAGTGAGAGTTGTATTTTCTGTCTCCTCAAGACAAGAGATTATTTTGTATCAAGAGATTGTTTTCTGTCCCGTCTCCTAGGTTTGCTCTGATGAACCGACAGTTGCTAGATGTGTTTGGGACTCAGGCCTCCAGGGACTTTAAAGGCTTTGTGCCCAAACTGGACCCTCGCTTCACCACTGTGCTTCCACCAGGAGCCGACATCCAACTCGGATGACTTGGGACCAAGCTCTGGGAGGGGCTTTAGGTTTACCTGAACAGGAAATGGACAATTTCCCTGTTCTGTCTGAGTAACTAAAGGATTTTTTTTAAAGGTGTTGAAACAGCTCAGAAGTGGTAATGTTGTTTTAAAAGACGGGATATGCTTTGAAGGATGTAAAAGCTCAAGATCCGTGCAAAGCATGGTCTCTTGAGAATTAAGTGTGGTGTTTCACAAGCACTTACTGTTTGGGCCTGTATGTATACAGGTAACTGGTGAAATAAATGAAATGCATAATTTTGTTAAATTGACATTGAAATTAAAATTGACAAGTATATTAATATTTTTAAGTCCTAATGAAACTCTCAATCGCACAGGACAAATAATAATAAGAAAGCCACATTCATTTCTATTTTGTCAAGTTGTCAATTTGCATTTGGCAGGATCACATTAACCTGTTCTACCAGGTATGTAAACCCCAAAATTGGTTTATTGGAAAATAAAAATGACTTCGCTTAGGATGCAACAGCACTGCTTTTATCCTTTAATTGTAATGTTTCTTCATTTTGCGAGTTACCTGTTAGTTGGTACTGACTGATTTTGACGAATCTCTGAAAGTGTACCTTCTCAAGACCATGGGTGCAACTGATGAGATATAAAATTATGTAGCCTTATCAAATATTTTACTTTGTAGTAGAATATGGAAGATGAATTTAGATGTGTTATATGACGTGAAACACAAAGGTGGAAAGTCAACATGTTTAAGCAGTTACTTAAATTAATTTTATTTTTCAAAGCTTAATTGATTTTTTTTTTTTTTATTGGGTTGTGCTTTTTTTTGTTTGTTTTCTTTTTAAATTTCTATTCACTCTTATTTTTTTGCAACTGCACTTGACAGTAGTGATTTCAATTGAGTCATCTTTAAAGATAATTAAAGAGAGCATGGAGGGCTGTGCCAAATTTGGAAGTTAATTTTGTGGACAAAATGTTTTTGTTGGTGAGACTTTATTTTACTGTTATTACAACTCATTAACTGGAAAAAAATTACAAGTGATTTCACCTTGAAGACATAAATTGACAGTAAAGGCAGGCAGGAAATCGGTGAATGTATTAACAGTTCATACAGAGCACTAACCTGATTACTTCAAAACCTTTATTTACAGTTAGAAGGTTTTCAGTAATCACATTTCTCATACACTGTATTTTCAAAAAGAGATTGATTTATTTTAGAAGTATTAAAAATGAAACAGTCAGATGTTAGGCCACAGCCTGAAGAGATTATTTGGTCCCAGGACTTTGAACTGTGCAAACTAACTCATTTAGATACATTATTTTCATTTCATATTTAGTCTGACTTGGTTTGAATTATTTTGGTTACATGGACGTGCAGCTACAAGTAATGAATATTCTTTTACTCCCACTGCCATGCTGTTACAGTGATACTCCTGTAGTCTGGCACATGGTTGAAATCAGATAGTTGGTTTCTCCTCTGCCCATTTTACAGTAAAATACATATGTACTCAGTATTTAAAGCAAAAACTGCTTAAATGTCATGAGAAAGGACTTGATAAGAGAATAGGCCCATACGTTTAGAAACAGCCTTTGACAAATGTATCACATGGATTACATCATTGTAAAAAAAAAAAAAAAAACTAAAGAGCCAAGACTTTGACATATGTTGTGAGCTGGTCAAATGACAATGCATTGGAGACATTTGCAGATCCATATAATTCAAAGTTTATTTAATTTGCAAATGGTCTTTAAAACCAAAGTTCTAAACCACAAAATCAATTGTCCACCCAAATTTCAAAAAAGTCAAAGCTTCAGTCAACCTGAGCTATTATTTTCAATTTATTCTCTGGAGGTGTTTGGGTTGGAAATGACTTATTACTTTATGTTAAATATTCACTAATCTTGGCCAATCCCAAACACAGGATGATTTAAATGTTATTTCGGTTGAGCTATTCAAATATAAAGAAAATTGTATCGGCGCTTTGCATTTTAATGAATGCTTTTGGCAATTCCAAGGTGAACTCTATTGCTTACAATCAACATTGATTTAAACATTGTTTAGGAATTTGGTACCACATCGATGCGTTTGCCTGAAGGTTATAAGAAAAATGTTTCTGTGAATAAAAAGCGCATAGCTCTATCTGCTTTTGTTTTTGATTTTTTTTTTTCTTTTTTAATAAGGATGTCTGCCAAAAAGATGATTTGAGTTTTAAACCTTTCATGTTCTCTGGAAAGTGTGAGTTAGACCTTTTTTTTTTTTTTACGAAGAAACACATGGTATGTCAGGGGTTCATGTAATATTTCAGTGCTTAACACAAGATTCACTATGGCATCTTCAAGTTTCTCCAAGTGGACCATTCATGACAACTTCATTCCAGATGTGAAATAATTACATATAATTAGAGTGTAAAATGTTAAACTGTCTTGTACAAAACTCATATTTCTGGCAGTTATTTGAACTGACAGTTTGTTTACTTCAAGTTGTTCAACCCAGCTTTAGACACACCTGACCTCCATACCAGAAGCCATGATTGTAAAAAATACAGTGCAAAACTCATGTTTAGACTAAAGTAGCGGTGTTTTAAAAAGTGATAAATTAACTAAATCTATTGTATAGAATAATAATACAACTCTCTGTACAACTCTCAGCACATGTATTTGATTTATGTAAAATGAGAGTATATTAAAATATTTTTTTGATTTCATGTGCCTGACTTGTTTTCTATCATGTCTTTGCTTGTGAAATGTCAAAGTCCTCAAGCTTCACCTGATCATGAAATTTAAGAATGGAAAAACTTCAGAATGCGTGTCACTGAATTTGAAACCTATCTTTTAGTTCACTGATTAAGTACAGATGCAGGGACATGGCGGAGGCTGGACAATGTGCTGCTTTGATAACTGTTATTATAGATCTACTAGCAAATCGGTTACCAGTTTGCCGTCAGGATTTATGCTAGAAGATAAAGGAAACTTCAGCAAATTAAAATATCTAGAGCTGGAAAACATGTCAACTATCAACCCAATGTAATTGGGTTGATAGTTATAATATATCCATGGGTCCCACAGTATTTGTGTGTCAACTTTTTTAAACAAGGAATCCAGAGCTGGTGGACTGATATCCATGGAACCTGCTATGTAAGAGTCAAAAGGAGTAAAGTCCTGATGTCGTAAACACTCCTGACCTTTCCTCTAGTGGCACCATAAGGCCAATATTTACGTTTATACACAAGAAATCTAATGGGCAACAGTAGTTGTGAACATTGCTGACTATATTTATGCTCTCTAGAGCAAACTTTAAAAGCTCTCCTTCACCATCAGGCCAAAATGAACTCCCTCCTGTCTGTCAGAGAATCATGTTTATCATTTAGTGGACTGCAATGTCTGCTATGTCTTTATGGAGGGCAGTGATTGGTGCATAACGCTTTGAGTTTACTCCAAATGCACAAGAAGAAGAACTACATAACAGCAGTAAGTATATGTGTGTGAAGTACAAACACGTCAGCACTTCTGTTTTGTGATTTCCCATTCAAAATAAAAGTGTGTGACTTACCTACAATTTGACTTACACATATTTTGTGATTGTGTGTTAATATAACCCACTCTTGAATGCTGCCATCAGTTTCCTTTTGACTGTTAACAGATATAGACAAATCAGCTGTCATCATAGACTGTAGGTATAAAAAGGCCATCACCCTAAATTATTGTGATTTAGGTCTCTTGTTGAAGAATACTCATCCATATAGCTGGCCCTGTACAGATATTGTATTTTATTTATCAAATTTATTTCTTTTATGTGCGTATTATTATTTTTTGTTTTGATCTATAAGCTGTTGGATTTCAATGGTGGATACATTTAAGGTCATACATGTCTTATCTTGTTCATTCTAAATAATCCACAGACATCAGTGTGAACAGTTTTCCCTGGGAACTGGTGTGTGTGTTGAATATTAAACAGCTTTGTCACCAAATGGTACCACCATTGTACACTAAGGTTGACTAGGGGCAATAGTTTTTTTTTCTAATACAAATTTGTGAGGATGACGCTTTATTTTGAAAGATGTAGACAGGAAGTTGTCAGTTCTGCATGATCAGTGGCTTTCACTCTGAGAACCACGGTTACTTAATACTGCCAACACAAATACCAACTAAGTTACTGTAAGAAACGGATACCTTTAAGAGTACGACGTACCCATGGGGGGTAAGAATAAACAGCGAACTAAAGGAAATGTTCGGGTAAGTACTATTATCCGTAAGCTAACATACAATCGTAAAGTAGGATTGCTAGCAACAAACCCTTAGCAGAAGCTAATGTAAACTTCACGTTAACAGCTAGCACGCTGCATGTGGCAGTGCTGTCCCAGCTGTTTTATAACAACGTTTCCGTCTCCCTAACGGTACTACTTTTGTTAGAATTTTCTATAACCATACTTTTCTCTCCTGCTGCTAGCCGTCGAGTAGCGGCCGGGCTGCTGAGGTACTGACCCGGGAGGGTGGTGTCATCCCGGGGTTTGTGGGCTTTGATTCAACGGTCACCTCAGAGCTGAGTTACGTCCCCGCTGTCCACGGCGCGGAGGAGATAGACAACCTGGTAGATCCTGACTTCCGCCTGGTGCTCAGGAAACTCTCGAAGAGGGATGTTGTCACCAGACTGAAAGTAAAATCAAACTTTTACTTAATTGTGGTCTTAGAGAAGTTCTACTTGCTGCAAGGCACACAAAGTTCAACATGTACACAAAATCTATGCAGAATACAACACATCTAATACACAATTAGCATTTTAAGTACTTAAACATCTATGCCACAAACTGATAGTTAAAATAACAAAATACAGCATACATGTAACTTGAAAAGCAGTCTCTTTTGCTAAATTCATCCCTATGGTGTTTTTTGGTTCAGGCGTGTGTATTCATAATGTGTACTCTTCCCAGGCTGTGCAGGACTTTGGGTCCATGTGTCAGGAACGGGATGCTGAAGAGGTTAAAGGGGTCCTGCCATACTGGCCAAGGATTTACTGCAAGATATCAGTGGTGAGCTGACCACACATTCACCACGCATTCACGAAATTACTTTTTTTGTATCAGTGTCTGATTACTCTTCACATTCTGGAAATATTGCATCTGTTATACTTAAACAAACACCATCATAGATCTTGAACTATCCTGTCATTCTTATCAAATGAAAGGAAAGCATCTCACTTCTACAGAACATGATGGGAAAAATCTCTCAGCAAGAGGTTTGTTGTGTGTACATTACAACAGTTTTGTCTTCATCATTATGTCTGTCAGGATCATGATCGTCGTATCAGAGAGGCCACCCAGCAGGCTTTTGAGCAGCTGGTGCTGAAAGTGCGTCGCAGCTTGGCCCCCTTTCTGAAGAGCTTGATGGGCCACTGGATTTTGTCCCAGTGTGATACTTACACACCTGCAGCCTCTGCTGCGTGCCAGGCCTTTCAGGCTGCGTTTTCACCCGCTAAACAGCCTGAGGCTCTCAGCTTCTGCAAGGATGAGATCTTGAATGTAAGTAGTAGTGATGGCTTTAGTGCAGACAAGGGGATTCGCACTTTAATCTCATGAGCTAAATTGAACTCAATTAAATAGTTATTTTTATTCTGCAGGTACTTCAAGAGATTTTGTTAAAAGAAACGGCAGACACACTGAGCGATCCACAGTAAGTTATCAGTTTAGCTCATTATAACTTCAGTGTCTTTTCCTCTCATTGTATGTGCGCAATGGAAATATACTCTATTAACATCTTTGCTGAGACACTGTCACTTTCCCATGTTCTCTAGAAGTGTAACAGAGGAGGAGAGAGAATCCAAATATGTGCGCATGCTGACCAGCTCTCTGCTGGGGGTGAAGAGACTGCTCTCCCTGCTCCTCCAGAATGACAGGGAGGCCCTGGAGCAAAGACTAGCACACCTTGTAAACTCTGGGAAGTTCTGGAAGTACAGCAAGCACAAGACACCACAGGTACCATCATCAAACAGGACTGCAGAGCTTATAACAGATGATAGAATGCGTATACCTAAATCATGAATTTGTTTACCTGGCATGCTCATAATGAGTTTTACTCAAATAAAATTAAGCACTCAACGTTTTTTCTTCATATATTCATAATTAATTTTAATAAAAGTATCTAGTTTGCAAAGATTGTGAGGGATAAAATGTGATAACTTCACTGTTAAGAGGCCATCAGGTTCCCCTTGTAATTCCAAATGTCCTAAGTGATTTTTTGTGTGTGGTTTGCATATTTATTTGTGTGCCCATGTTACTGTGGCTATGTTTACATGTGAAGGCTAAATGTAAAGAAGAAATGATTATGTAGAATTTATTTATTCTATAAGGTTAATTCATTCTTTGTAGTTCATATTTTCTTACTCAGTCTATCCCAAACCTATACTTGTTGAGTTGACTGTAACATACAATGATAAAACAATGTGAAAGTTTGTGCTGTCACATGCCACCTAATATACATGCAATGACCTGTTGTGAAGAAGATGTTTCTCTAACTACTGCTATATGTTGCTCCACAGGTGCGAGGGGCATTTTTCGAGATGGTGTGCGCTCTCTGTGAGTTCACTCCAGCGCTGGCGCAGGCTGAAGCAGCGCGACTCTGCCCTGCTGTTCTCCTCAGCATTGATGACACAGATCCTGTAGTGCTGCCTCCTGTGTGGGAAGCTGTTCTTCATGTTGTGTCTACGATCCCCGTAAGCTTGTGTTTAAAGGATGACCTCACATATACAATAATACTCATGCCGTTATATATTGTCAGGTGTTTTGTAGTGTTGTCTACCCTCTATAGTATCACAGTAGACTTACTTACAGTAGTGCAAGAAGGAGTTATAGTAACCAGCACTGGTAGAGTCACAAATGTATACATACCAAAGTAGATGTGTTTAATTTTTTGTTGAGCCAATTTATAGTTAAGTTATATCTTTGATATTTTTGTTCCTGTTCCAGGATTGCTGGACACATGTGAATGCCAAGAAGGGCTTCCTACCCAAACTCTGGGCTCTACTAAGAGAGGGGGGCAAAGGGATGGCTAAAGCTCTCCACCCTAATCTGATGCTGCTCCTCAGCAAACTGCCCCAACAGGTCACTGATCCCACCTTGGACTTCTATACCACATTCTTCACTTCCCTCACACAAGGGTAATTTGTGTGGGTGTGTGGGTGTGTGTGTGTGTGTGTGGGTGTGTGTGTGTGTGTGTGGGTGTGTGTGTGTGTGTGTGGGTGTGTGTGTGTGTGTGTGTGGGTGTGTGTGTGCGCACACTTGGGCTGAGAGACAATTCAATATTATTTATCAAATTTCCAGGGAACTGCATTGTGAAAATGAGTTTTTCCTGATCTACATTGGTCCGCATTTCATTGCATTAAGGAATAATTTATTATTTAAAAAAAAATGATTTTGCATTCATCTGACATTTAAAATTTGTCATACAAAGTATATTGCACAGTCCTGTGTACGGCTGTATGCTTGTTCAGGAGCTGGAGCAGGAAAATTGCAAACAGATTTATGATTAATGATTACGAATTATGAGCAAACCATATTACATGATTTTACATGCAAAAATATCTACTCATCACTTTCGTTAATATTGTGATACTGATTTCAACCATATCAGAATTCCTGCCTTACACCATCTATCTGTCTGTTTTAGCCTTTCTAGTGAGCGCGCAGCAATAAGTCCATCGGAAAGTGCAGTTATAGTATCTTCTGTTGTTGAGTGCTTGAGGTACTGCATACTGCACAACACAGAAAAAGAAGAGGATCACAGAAAAATAAGGACCATGCTTATTTCACAGCAGGTGGGATCACACATCGCACATATTTTTCCCATCCTGTCAAATCTATTGAAGTCTCTACATTTCTTACATCATTATGTTTTTTGCCTCTTTATAGCTCTTACCACTACTAGAAAAAGCTCTGGGAAATCCCTCCCTTCAGAATGGTCCTCTCTTCCTTTTGGTCACCGAAATGCTCATTTCCTGGGAGAAGAGGGCAGGTTTACACAGCGAAGGTGAAACCAATGACAGCATGGATGTCTTCCAAGGGCTTCTGGCAGACTTCTGGGAAGAGCTTGGTCTTCTCTTTGTGCGTTATGTTGACAAGGAGGAAGCAGACCCCCAGGCATTGGAAGGGGTAGCCACCTTGCTGCAGGTGAGTTTAGTTTAGCAGAATCTCTGTTTCAGACATACTCTCCACTGAAATCTCCATGTTGACAGTAAGGATACAGCAAATCAATATGGCTGTCAGAGCCAGTCATGTCTTAAAGTGAAACACACACACACACACAAATACAATCCTTAAATAAATCTATTCTCACTTTCTCTTTTGTCTCCAGGTGATGCGTTACCCTGAGAGAGTAAACAGAAAGCACATCCAGAAGAAGAAATCTGTCAAGATCTGTTTGTCTAAGCCGGAGGACAATGAAAAAACCGGAGTTGAGGGGGATGATGTAGAGAAGCCTGTGCAGACGCCACCAGAGCTTGCGAATGAGAAAGCATTTGGATCCCTAAAGATCCAGCGTTTTGAGGATGTAGTGTGTCAGCTGGCACAACTGTGCCTGGTGCACGTAATTGAGACAAACTCGGAGAGACATCTGGTTTTCCTCTCCCTCCTCCTGCGGTCCTTCCACACACAGAGGGTCTTCAGTGTAAGTCGTATTTGACAATTACCAATATTTATTTCAGTGTCATCTACAGGATTTTTACACCCCATGAATTTGTCTTTGTAATGGCCAAATCTGTGAGAAATAGTAAAGTATTTGCAGTTTTTAATTAACGCAACAAAACATGCAAATACACGTATAGTCTTTTAAATTAAATAATGAAAAGTCAGTTCTAACAGCTCTTATTTGATGCAACTAACTTCTTCCACGAACTGTGCTCATCTTAGACATTGGTGGAGTTGGACGATAGAATAACAAAGGACAGTGAGCAGACAGATGAACTGAATATGAAAAATCCAGCAATGCAGTTCCTGCTGGAGCGGGTGGTGGTGTGGCTGGCCGAGAAGGGACGCAGAGACACCGAGCACCTGGTGGAGATGGTCTTTAGCTCACTATACTGCTGCAGCCGGCAGGAGACCACCCGCATACTCAACCACATCACCACGGTAACACAAAATTACATCTCTTATGTGCAGCGTGATGATGCCTCTTTTGTCATAGCGCCAACTTTAATGCCTCCTCTTCACTCTGCTCTCTAGATGGATCTACAGTGGGGAATTATCCTGCAAATTGTACAGAAGGTATGTGTCATCCTGTTCATACAGACTTCAGTCAAAGTGTATTACCTGCCTATACACCACATTTGCACTGTTGTAAATGTCTGTCTGTCTATCTGTCCTATTAGGCATGTGCGGATCCTCAGACTGTTAAGAGCTGCAGTGATTGGCTGAAAGGTTCAGTTCTGGGCGAGCGGCTGCTGGGATTGACTGAGGAGCTGTGCAAAGTGGAACGCTGCTCTCCCAGTTCGACCTCCTCTCCAAGCAGCCACAGTTGGAAGCTCATTAGCCTGGTCCTCTCTCAACACATCAACAATGGTGAACAGAAACAAATACTATTTTTGTTCAGAAATGTACCTTTTTGCTGGACTCTAAATGCACATTTGTAGATTTTGGTATCTGTCACCAAACTATATAATAATAGTTTTGATCTGTTTAACCTGCACAGAGCCTCTGATAGGGGAGGTGTACATGGAGAAGATCTTAGAGAAGCTCCACGCCACTCTGTCTGAGACCAAGAGTCTGTCAGATGCAGGCAACATGGAGCCACTCATCTCCTTCATCTGTGATGTCGCCTCCACATTCTTCTCTTCTGTACAAGACTGTCTTCTGCTCCTCTCTGCTGAGGAGCTCTTGCTCAGTGTCTTCCAACTCACCGCCCAAGATCAAACACACACTCACCTGTCTGGTAGATACTAACACAGTGCTCAAAACATATGTACTGTACGTGACAGGTAAGCTGAGTAACTAATTTGTGTTGATATTACTTTCAAAGACTCACTTTTAGATAAGCTAAGGAAAGTGTGTGTTGCTGGGGTCCAGTCATTGGTCCAACACTCGGAATATGAAGTCAAGGAAGGCGGTTTCCTGCACAGTGCAGCCGTTTGGGTGAGAAACCAACTACTCACCGTCTCTCTGGACATTAAAAGGTAACAAAAACCATCCTCTGGTGTAGTTCATTGTGTGGGAATCGGTGCAACCATATCAGAAGAATCTGTCCCAACTCCTCTTGGTGTTATGTTTTAGTTTACAGGTTCTAGCTCTGGCTGTACAGAGCCTAGTGGAGACAATCATATCTGTCTGCGATCAAGACTCCTCACTCCTCGTCCAGTTCTTCACCCTATTGACGCCAAGCCAGACGGAATGGACAAGAGTCAGGCAGGCCTTACCTCCTCAGGTGAGTCAGCCATTTTGTCATCCTTCCTCAAGGAAAATAACTAATTCAGGCTCTACCACGCATTGGTTATGCATTCATTAAATCCTTCACACAAAACACTTGACATTCATGTGGTGTTGTTCCCCTTTTTTCTGTCCTCTGCAGTGGATCAAAACACCGTTATTGTCCAGCCGTCACAGAGGAGTTTGTGAAAAACCCTCCATGAACATCTGGAAGTTTAAGGTGCCAAACGGGCTGCCAGCCCACCTATGTGCCTGTGCCCTGTTAGGGAGGGTGGCCAGGACTGTTGCAGCCATACCTCGTGACCAAGAGGAGGCCCAATGTCATTCGCACCTGCCAGACCTTAAGTGCACAGGTACACACACATATACACAGGACATTTCTGTAACTGTGTTTTTCATATATTTATGTGTATGTCAATCTATGATCCTGTTTAATATGTTTGTATATGTATGTGTTTTGTTTGACAGCATCAGAGCTGCTGTATGCACTGCAGTGGTGTAAGGAGGTAGAGTACAGCCCCACCGTAGTGTCTGCCTATCACAGCCTGCTGACTGACTGGGGGCTGTCAGAAGGACTCCACAGCGAGGTTTCAATGAAACGCCTGTTGGAGACTCTCTACTCAATGTGAGCTTCACTGGGTGATTTTTGATCAAGAGTGGATTGGAAGAGCACTTGGCAGAATAAGCCAAAACAAATCCGCACTACATCAACATATGATATGATTTTCTACATAAAGAGAGCTGCCAGTCGCCTGGATCCGTGGAGCCTCTTCAAATGACATGGATATGGTTATGTTATAGGACCAGTGTTTCCCCTATATGCACCTTACAAAGCACCTTACTGAAACATGACTGCTGCTGATTTCTTTTTGTTTATGAGATGAGAGGAAGAGAGAAGAGGATAGTCTAATCTCTTAAATTATTTTGCACTACAGACAATTCATATCCAAGTCAGATCACACCTGTGAGTAAAGCATATAAACAAGAAACTTTGCACTTACCTGATATTGACGGCACAGTGATTATAACAACACACCCCAGGTAGATGTCAACAATGAAGCAAGCAATGCTGGTCACGTTTTCAAGATTACCATTCGCCAAATCCTGCAATTTCACGTGCAGTATTGCACAGTAACGTTACAGCAAACGCACTCAATTGATAGGAATACACAAGGAAACGCATATGTGAAATCAACAGCATTTGGAAGATCCACTTTGATACAAAGATAGGAAATTGTTGATATTTCTGTGAGGGAATCTGTTATTTGGATAGCATTCCCTCAAAAAAAAAAGTAACTTATTTTACCACATTTTAGTAAATGAACACTTTGGTGTTTGATAACAGTGGGGTGATGCAAATGAAAAAAGGACAGTTAAGAATGAATCATTCTTAATGGCTACTACTCCATACCAGGGGAAACACTGTAGACTATACATTAAATGGCAATCAATGAAAAATAGCTGATTACAAAAAACAACTTTTAAAGAAATTTAATAAATATATCCGCTTCTAAAGAGAGAAGTCATTTTTATGTATGTTTTTCTCCCAAGAAGTAATTTGAAACAATATGCACTGAACATATCGTGTATTGCATTGTTACCTTGTAGGTCAGTGGAGGATGGAGGTCTCTGGTCTCTGACTCTAGAAAACTACATCCACACCAACAACTTGGCAGCCACTGGCAGCGCAACCGTGAGGAAGCTTTACGGCAGTGTAGACAGGTCAGTCATTTATATGTTTAATTCATTTTGAATGGCTTTGGATTTCACATTCAGAGCCATTATGTAGCCGCTCATACCACTGTGTTGTATGTTGAACACTGTCTGTGTTTGATCAGTTTGTTCCCAGTGACTCAAAGCAAACTGAGCACGCTCCAGGTGCTCTGTCCCACTATGACTATAAAAGACAGAGAGACTCTCGTCGCTCTGGCTACTGCTGGAATAATCAACTGGCAAGAGGATGACAGTGAGAATACACACACACACACACACACACACACACACACACAGAAATATATACTTGGGCACTTTTGAACTTGAACCATGCCAATAATAATTCTGGGCTGTGTGTCACAGATGTGTATGGGTGTCTGGTGGTGCTGCTGTGCTGTCTAGAAGCCAACACAGAAATAGAAGAGGAGGTTATGCAGGCTATCCTGGCCACGGTGATGGAGTGGAGGAACAGCAAGGAGGACTGGTTCCTCTTTAGCAGGTAATGTAATCACACACACTGATTTATTTATTTTTTTTTTGTTATATCCCTCAATCTACTATATCTACCGACATACTTACATTTGTCACGTCCTTCTCTTTCAGTGACCTCTCTAAAGCAACTGCAGAACAGTTGAACCTTGCTGTGGAAATGATGCGTTTCCTGTCCTGGCTGGTGGCCCGTTGTCCGACAGTTCTTGGCAGCAGCCAGTGGGACTTCCTGCTCTGCTCTATGTTAGCCTGGTTGGAGGTGAGACAGAAATCATGCATATTGTTGATGTTTGTGACTTTGAGGTCAGAGGTCAGCCACAGAGTATTCCCTCCAAGAGCTGGTAAAGATTGAGTTCCAGGACATTAGAGCAGGGTGTTTTTTTTTCTTTTTTTTCTTGAACTTCTACTTGTAGCTCACCATGCTACTTTTTACTACAAATATATGCTACAAATAATTTCTGTTTTGGTTATACATTATCAACAACTATCTATTTGCAGTCACTCATTATGTCTGACTTTGCTTGCTTCCTATCTCAGACTGCCAGCGAGAATGTGAGCAGCCTATGGAACCCATGGGTGCAGCTGTTTGTGTGTGAGAATGCTGCACTGATAGTGAAGCTGAACCAGTTCTTTGGATCGTCCTCGCCTGACGTTCTGCAGGAGCTGCCGTCAGAACTGGCAACTGAATGGACAGAATTCTTTGTAGAGGGAATCTACAACCTGCTGTTGCCTCTTCCTGTCAATATTACAGGTATGTGTGGATTTTATTTTAGGAGGTTTTGACTCAGTCTCTGGGAAACTCTAAAAAGAGAAGCACCAAATCTTCTCTAATATGTTAGTAAGTTGCTAAATGATCAGCGTTTACATGTATTTGACTGTGTTCCAAACCTGTACAGTGTAATATGCAAGCAAATGGAGTAAGTGAGAATGTTTAAGTACAGTATGTTACAGTCCGTATTTCATGGATCACTGTCCTTTTGTGTGCTTGCTGTCTAAATGTAGATACCTTCACTGAACCGGATGATCCTGCGTTCCCGTCGGCGGTGCTGGAGTCAGCCGGCGTGGCTCTGACATATGTGCCTGTGCAGCAGCTAAACCAGAACTCCCTGCCGCCACAGTTCATAGCAGACCAGAAGACGAACCTGCCAGAGCCCCTCCAGACGCTCCTCAACACGTTCTGTCCTCTGCTGCTATTTAAGGCCAGACCTCTGCAGATCACCGTCTACAACCTTTTGGAAAAGTGAGGGTTTTTTTTTTTTTTAAGTGTGTATCAGTACACAAAAGTGGGTTTCCTTTAAGTAACAGAAAAAAGATCTGCCACAAACTGCTCTAGTACTGTGTTGAAATTAAAGTTACAACTATCTGGAGATCTTTAAGGCCCTGTAGGAGGTTGCTTCATGCTTACCACAAGATTTAAAACTAAGAAAATTAACATACGTGCTTATTGTCAATACAGGGTCATGCCTCAGCTGCCTGAGTGTGATGGAGAAGGAGACAACAGCAAATCTATTGATGATGGAGATGAGCCATGTCTGTAAGTCAAAGGAGGGAGACCCCCTTTATTTCTTAGTATAGATTATATTTTTTAATGATACTCTCTCACCTTTGGGTTTTGCGTTCAGTTCTCCTCCAGCTTCTCTTATGGCCGTCCTGTCGACCTGTGAGGAGCTGTGCGACAATATCCTGGCCGGGGTTCAAGTAGGAGAGTTTGCAGTGGTCCAGCCTTTCAGTGTGGAGTACTCCTGCATCCTGGGTTACCTGCTGGCCTGGAAGCTGCTGCTCACATTTTTTAAATCCTCACCCTCTCACGTGAGTCTTGTTTCAGAACAATACGGCTACTTTTTCTTTTCTGGTTGCGACTGTAGACTTTGAGTATATGAACGTGTACAGAAGCTCATTTATACGTTTCATGGTGAGAGTGTGCTTTGACATCTGTTGTGTTTATATGAAAGTATTGTCACAGCATTGACTGCTCTTCTGATGTACCTCTAGCTGCGTGCTCATTATGCCCAGTATCTGAAGAGAAGCTGCTCCCTTAACAAGCTCCTCCTTCACCTCTTCAAACTGATGCCCGAGAACCCCGTCTACCCAGGGCAGGGGGGAGAGACAAAGGAGACCAAAACCTTCTTTACGGAGAGTCTGTCACTAGCTGTAGACAGTAAGTACATCACACACACACACACACACACACACACACACACACACACACACACACACACACACACACACACACACACACACACACATACATGCAGTTCTCTGTACATGAATGTGAAAAGTAAACAAGCTTAGATTTCCCCCCTCCTGTGTTTCTTTGTCTGCAGAATGTGACTGGGAACTCCCTCACCTGGCTTGCAGTGTATACTACAGCACAGTGCAGGACTTGCCTGCCATGGTGCGGCTGTGGTGGAACAGCCAGGAGAAGAGAGTGAGCGCAGCTGTGGAGAAGTTCACGATTAAATACGTCAGTCCTGTTCTCTCGGCTCAGGAGATCTCATCTGTCCACTCCAGCACTCAAATGTTTGACAGCATGACTGTAAGTCAAGCTGTTGCCTTGCTCCTCTGTGTGTGTGTGTGTGTGTGTCTGTAACTACAGCTTGTACGAGTTTAAGGTTTCCTAAAATGTCAGATTTAATGAAAGCAGACAAATTGTTTATGCAGTAATGGAGGATGGTGGGGCTTTTTTTTAATTTTATTTTTTAATTTATTTATTGTTCCCATTTCTCATCTCATCTGCAGCGACCGTTTTAAGATTTTTTAACTTACCCAGACACCAGCATATCTGATCTCCAAGAAATTACCCCGAAGTTGATAGGCGTGATAATCATTTAAATTGAACAAATCCTTTGGCGCCGTACCTGCATCACATTTGCAGTATAATGATTCAGCAACAATAGATCCTGTTCATTTGAAATCATCAACTGTGATCCTGGCGTTGGCTTGTGAAGCAGGTGTGTGATTGTTTGACTGAAAGACTCCCAGTGGCACAGAAATCCAGTGTATTTATTTATTTATCTCATTGCCCCAGGTGAAGGCCCGCTCAGCAGCGCGGGAGGTGATTGCTACCTATTCTGTGGATGACATCTTCATCGAGTTGGTGATTCAGCTACCACAGAACTACCCTCTAGGCACTATCACTGTAGAGAGTGGGAGGCGCGTTGGTGTTGCCGTACAGCAGTGGAGGAACTGGATGCTGCAACTGAGCACCTACCTCACACATCAGGTAGACACATAAATGAAAGAAGTTGGTGTAGTTTTCTTGAAGAATACAGGCCTAGGTGGCTGTGGGGGAAAAAAAAGGGATTAAAAAAAAAAAAAAAAGACAAAAGAGGATGAAACGATCCCAAAAAGATGTAATTGTGTGTTTGTGTGTGTAGAACGGCAGTATAATGGAGGGCCTGGCTCTGTGGAAGAACAACGTGGATAAACGCTTTGAGGGAATAGAGGATTGTATGATCTGCTTCTCTGTTATCCACGGCTCCAACTACTCCCTGCCTAAGAAAGCTTGCCGCACCTGCAAAAAGAAATTCCACTCGGCGTGTTTGGTGAGTTATGGGCGTACATGTCATCATATTACAACCAGGGGTGGGCTGTCCACATCTTCAGTGCCTCTCTGGAGATGGTAGAGGAACTATTAGCATTGATACACTTGGAGTATATATATATATATATATATATATATATATATATATACATATTTTTGATCTTTGATCAGTCATCATAACAAAGAGAGAGAGAACAATATCATTTGCAACAAATTTTGGTTTGTCCAGTACAAAGATATTTCATAAGCATTTTTCGTCTTTCTTGGACTTAATTGAAGGTTTTAATTCATAAAGCCACAGCTCACTACTGGTTGTGTCACATACACTTTCCATCTTACATCTCACAAATACCATTAAATGCCTTACGACATATAAATTGAACATAAAGTGAACATAGCTTTTTTTTTTTTTTTGACGTTGTCTTCTCATCGTTCTTCTCATCTTTCCACAGTACAAATGGTTCACTTCCAGCAACAAGTCCACCTGTCCACTGTGCAGAGAGACCTTCTTCTAACCCGCCGTCTTGATTCTTCTATCAACCAGGACTGGATCGATTGTGATAACATGCAGAAGGTTGTGAAGAAATTTATTACATCACAATGTGGGCTGACGTTCTCTCTCTGAGGCTTTTTTTCTGACCGAAATGACAGGCGTTGTTTGGCTCTTGTCCTCAGTGGAATCTGAAGTACAATTAAAAATCTAGTGAGGTCCATATTCATTAGTGTGGGTTAAATAGCTGTCAACAGTTTGTTTAGACCAGTGCTTTGCTGTACTGTATATACGCAGCATCAGTAGCTCCCTGCTGATGTTTTTTCCGTTTTTATCTTTTTTTTTTTTTTTTTTGACTTAATTTTTTATCTCTTGAAACGTGCAGGTGTGCAAAGCGGCTGAATCACAAAGTTGGGAAAACCAAAGCTGCCCAGGTGTTTTAACATCTGTTGAAATAAGTAATTATACAAACTGAACAAAAAAAATGATGGTCTAAGTAATGCAATGCCCAATACAGATTTTACAAATATTTCCTAATATTTAGGAGTGTAAAAAGATTATGTCTGATTAGTGACATGCCTTATACCATTGTCACATGGTGAGATCACCTATGAAAAGCAGGAAGGAGAAACTTGTTTAGGTCGGTTTTTAATTTCAAAATGACATCGCTCAGAGACATCAAAAACCTAATAAAATGCATCTTCCCCTGTGCCTGCATACAGCTGTAAATGATGCCGGAAATAAAATACAAGTGGATGGATATAATTAATGGATGCAGTTTGTTTTGTATTCTGCACTTGCAACAGGGATCAAAGAAAGAATACACATTAAAAAAAAAAAAAATGAAAGTCATGTTCCACACAGAAACTGATATTTATCTAAAAATATTTTGTCATTAGAATGTGTACTTGAATGTGTACCTTCATGCATGCCTTGCAAACGAATACAAATATTTTTGAATGCTGATCTGAATGTGAGAGACTACAGTGAGTAGTGTCGAAGCTCTGTACCACCAATAGTCTTGTCGTGGCTTAGCAGCTTTACAGGATTTTACAGAACAAAGTACACTGCGTACATTTTTCCAATGACTGAGTTGTGTAATACAGAACAATGCATATGCAGGGATAAATAAATCTAGCACAGACTGCTCATGCATATTTCTACCTGCATACACAGACCTTTACTCTGGGATCCGTAAAGGTTTATACATTTTGCCCCAGGTGTATTGTTATACACCTAATACCTTTTTAATAAGTAGTACCTTTGCCAAAGCTAGCCTCTTTTATATGTTAATGACAATCATTATCTAAGCTATTGCAGTTTCCAGGTCTTAAATTCTGTTAGTATAATATCTTAATGATCACAAAAGAAACAATCCAGGGAAATGTGTATAAAGCTGAACGGATAAACCTGTAGGGACTAAACACATGGTTGGCGATTTGATTCAACTGGGACCCTCTCCCCCTTTGCTACCAACAAACAAGTGGATCTGTTATGTTATACTGTCACTGAATCTTACATAACTTTATTCAAAGTCGACTATAATAAAACCCAAGTGCTTCCGTGAACTGTTGTGTTAACCTGGGCCTCCAATTACAGGCGTATGATATTTCCATATAACTGTTACTGTAAGTTAACCTGTGTTAGTTTCCAAGAAAAGACTGTAATTAACCTCAGCCTGTGACTGCTGGCACCAGTCTCCTATGCTCATTTATCTCGGATCCACCTCCTCCTCATGTTGAATAATTTATCTGTTTTAATGGAGGCTTGCTCTCATCACTGTTGTTCCTATGGAATTAATTATGACAGATTAAGCATGATCAATGAATTAATCCCCATCATTTGGTCTGTCTTCGATGTGTGTGTGCAAGCATGTGTGCATTTGTAATTCATTAATGTGGTCATAATTTATCAATACATACAGCCAGCATCCATCATCATCTGCCCTTGACCTTTTTAATAACCATTGATCTGTTTGCCAGGCATAAATATTTATACTGAAATTCCCGTCTGTCACGACTTTAGACACACACACACACACACACACACACACACACACACTCACACACACACACGCACCCATGCCGATGGCCTCAAATCTAACTGCTCATTATCTGCTTGATTAAGCAGTGGTGCAAATGTTATGAACTACAGTACAGCCTTGTGTGCCGCCTGTTCTTTTCATAATCTAGGTCAATCCTCACCAGAAGATGGCAGCATTATCACAAGACATCGCTTGGAGAAATAAAACCACTGTTTGAGGAGATGTACATATTAACCAGTGAAGAAAAATAAAAAGGATTAGTGTTTCTGACTCTCTAGAGGGATTAAATTACCTACAAAGATCAAATTTTTGTTGTTAAATTTTCCGTCTTCTGGCTTTTCAGACAAATAGTTTTTCATTTCATCCAAATAATTAATATGCAATTTTAAACAGGAATTAATAAGAGATCCCACAGGGATTATTAATGTGCCATCTTTAATTACTCAAATGAATATGATGAATAAATTCAGCCACGATGCTGAAACCTGTCTGATACGATAGCTGGAGACCCAGGTTAAACGTTGCTGACAGACTTGACTGGGAGGATGTAAATAGTTTTCAGGGCAGGGGTGCCAGTCAGGATGGAAATCGCTGATGTCAACCATTCTGAAAATAGCTGGAAACAGACATTAATGTTACAAATGTTAATTTATACACACAAACAAACAGATTTTGAGAGTTCTTGAAAAGACTGAACTAGTTTCCTATTAGAAAAACTGAATTTGTCTAATAATTAAATCCAACCAAAGGATCAGACATCAACTAGTGATTTATGTGTGTTGGACCAGGTGGTGAAGATTATGATTTGATTTCTTTTGGTAAAAAAGCCAAAGAGCACATTGAATACTCTACGTTTCCTTTCCTTTATACTGAAAGTGCTTGCGATGCCATCCATCCATTAACCATCCTCTTAACACTGACCCACTTGCATGAAACTGCTGTACTAGCAGAAGCTAATTAGACGCCAACCTGTCTACAACCACTCAGTTCACTGGCCTTTCTGGCCTTCCAACCTGATTGGTGGAGGCTTGGTTACTTCATAATTAGCCAAGCCTAGTTAGCTCTCATTTAGCTCTCCCTGACCCATTTGTGAGGCTATTAGCATTCTGAGCCATTTGTAGGCGGCTGGTCCCATCCCAGTTGCACCACTCCTCAACACTGCAGGCAACTGCTCAGCATGGGAAATGGCTTTGAATTCATCTGTGTGAGTGTGTGTGTGTGTGTGTGTGTGTGTGTGTGTGTGTTTTGTGTATGTACATGTGCCTGTCAGTTTGACTCTGATGATATTAGTTCTATTGAAATGAATCCTGCAGACATTTTATTTCCCTCTGTGTAACCAGTCTCCCTCTCCTCCTCCATCTCTCTCCCATGTTTCCCATCATATAGCACGTTGTATAAAATTACACACAGCATACAATCAATACCTGAATTTGAATGTAATCCTGGGAATTTATTGGGTTCATTTATCCTGAACCAAAGCAGGAAACTTTACAATTCAATTCTATCGGGGCTATTTCCGCAACTGCACTCAACTCAAAAGCAAAATGATCAATTTTATTAACATTTGCTGTTTTCATATAATGAAGGTAATAAACAATGATTATTGACCTCAATCTATTTGCTCCTAGACATGCATTTCTATTAGTCATTATGGCTGGGAAGGGCTGCCTGGTCTGCCACAGTTTAAATCTACTGTTATTACTCTGTCATCACATACAGGCCTTTTATGGTTTTCTATTACTGCTGCCATGTTATAGCAGCAATGGAGGACACCAAAGAGCAGGTGGCTGAGTGTGCTGTTTTCAAATGACTCTGGCTGTGATTCAAAACCACAGCGAGAAGATTTAAAGAGAAAATTCTTTATTTCAAGAAATCAAAATGAGAAAGTCAATAAACATTAGAACGTGCACGTAATATTATTTTGTCACAGTAAAAGAAAGAATTCCTTTAGAATGGTTTCAGCACTCATTATAGGTGCAAATGTCTGTACATTATATTTGTGTGCCTATTACACATTAAATATACATTTATGAACATATTAGCAGAATGACTGCAAAGCGGCCAATCCATCCAATATCATATGACCACTGCTGAACACTTTCTCAAGTGCATTTGGAGCCCAACTGACCTAACTCTTCCCCATGATGAAACTTATCAGTCCAAGGGCAATGCATGACAGAGGACTATTTAAGAATTCTGAAGCACTGCTTAAGTTCACAGTCATGCACCAGCAGCCAAGGTCTGCCTACAAATAACACTGGCTGTGCACTTTTTTGTTCTACCAGAAAGCCCTCTGCATGTAGCTTCAGTCAACCAAAGTGCCCCCCCCCAACCCAAAGTCGACATGGAAATAACAGAACATAAGGACTGTAAAAGGAATCTGAGCATGACCAAATCTTTTTAGATCCAACTAGGACAAACACATGAGCGTTACTTCCTGAATATTTTAGGTTGTGTGTGTTCGCTCCTGCACATGAGCTAAACAGAGGCAGGGAATAGGGACAGTAAGGCTTCACACTGCAGTGTTATTCTTGTATCGGGGATGGATCAACTGTGCACTCTTTATGACTCACAGTGCAGAGGTAGCAATTAGGCAACGAGAGTTCACACAGCACAGACCTCTATCATGCCCCCTTCCCTAAATTTAGAGAAACCCACAGGCATGTCCATATATTGTACAAATGCTCTATATATTGTTATAGAGGCAAAGAAAATGGACTTCTACTCCCTGTGGCAAAATTTGATTTACTGTTCTATTTAAATGGCCACACTGTTTCAGAGAGGTTGGTGTTTCCATAGCAAAGCCCGAGGGTGTTTCGATACATCACGCTGTAAAGTAACCAGGCATTTAACACACAGAGGAGAGGAAAACACAGTTACCAAAATCAAACTCATCATCACACTGCAATTAATTTGAACATGTTGGTCCCGCTTTGATAATCTTTTCCCATCATTAAAACTTTTCCTCCGGTGGCACCATGAAGTTGACATTTGTAGTATTGAGTGAAATGTCTCAACAACAACTTCATGAATTGCCATGAATTTTGGTACAGGCAATCATGAATTCTCAAAAACGTTGATCTTTAACCTTTTAACTTCTCATTTGGCGCCATCACTGGGTCAAAATTCCACTTGATCCAGAGCTTTGGTTAATGACCAAATACCTGTTAAAAGAATTCCCATTGGCCTCAACTGTACTTTGTGTTTAGTGCTAATTACCATCCGCCAAGGAGGTTATGTTTTCACCCGTGTCTGTTTATTTGTCAGCAGGATTACACAAAAAGTACTGGGCCGACTTGCACCGAACTTGGTGGAGGGATGAGGCACGAGCCAGGGAAGAATCCATTCAATTTGGGGGCAGATCCGGATCATTTACTGTGATGTACATTTTTTTTTCTCTGAAGTCTGGTGTATGCTGTTTGACATTGGCCTTGGCCTGGGCTCTCTGACTACCCTTCCAGTAAACTGTTTGCATGATAACACGCTAAAATAAGTTGGTGGACATGGCAAACATAGCTTATCTGCATGCCTTAGTACAGCTTCACAGAAGTGCTAGCATGGCTGTGAACTATTTTTATCTCAAAAGACAGTTATTTATTGATTTATTTTGCAAGGTATCATTTTAAGAAAAAAAAACAAAGATAATTTGTCATTTTCTCACTTTGACATCAAGGTTGACCTGATATCTTTGCTCACATTACTCAGAGAGGCATAAGTTAAA